AAGAGTCAGTTGACTTTGCTATAAACTAAAGCTCAGATAATGGACAATGATTTTCTTATTGATAGAGTAACTGGATAGTGGCCTTTGTGAGATCAGACCTGTAGTTTCCCTTTGATATGTAAGAAGACATGTTACAGTTACTGGTATAGGAATGTGAGCAAGTTTGTAGGACTTTCATTCTATCCACCACACAGGGAATAAGTCAAAAGAAACTGTCAACAACAAAATATTGAAAGAAGCCAGTTGGCAAATCAGCTCTCCCTCCTGATTAGCACCTTCCAGGAGGCATGACCATATGAAGAAAATTCCAACGTTTTCAGAAAGTGACAAGACCATGCTTCCTTTGCACACCTGTGCAGTACGTGTGAGCAGACTTTCCCTCTTGCATGTAGTGACACGAACTGTCATGCAAACCAGAATGCTCCTTTTAATTGGAGATTCAGTCACCACCCCGTATGACAATTTAGGATTTACCACGCGGCAGCAGTGGAATGCTTGTATCCAATTCATCCTGTCATTAAATGAGTTATCTTAGAGGAAAACAATAATTGAACACATGAAATGATTTTAAGACCTTGGTGACAACTTCTTAGATAAAACTTTAAAAAGAAGCAAACAAACTTGAAAGTAGGATGAGGCTTGCTGGGGTGAAGAAATTTCTGTGCCGGGGATGAGAGGATGCAGTAGGGGAGGAAATGACAAAACTTCATTATATGCATGTTTTAAATTGTCAAAAGAATAAAAACAAGTTTCCTGCTAATCCTTGTAACTTATGGGAGAATAAGTAATATTGATGAAAGACCATCATATTAACAGTTATTCAAGTCCCGTAGCTTTGTTTTTGTTTTTTTGTTTTTTTAAATAGAATGTTCTTATTTAGGAAAATTAGTCTTAAAAACTGAGGTGTAATGATAAACTTTACCCAAATAGATTCACTACTAACTGTCTTGAGGTAAGTGTAAACAAAACAAAATCTTTCTGAGAAAATATTATGAACTTATGCTTTTCAAGTACCACCCTGCCTCCAAAATAATCACTATTAAACAATTCCAGCATTGCACGTTTGGACTCTAAAACATAAGCATTGAAATTTCAAGCTGTGAATTGGTAGGCATAAAAAAAGCCCCCAGAGTTAGAGCCATTTTGATGATGAACTTTATCTTGTTCTGTGATCTGAATGTTTGTCATTGTGGAGACAGCGGCATACAGAGTGGTTCCCGATGTTAATTATACTATGAATATTTTCCATACCTATTAAGCATGGTGAAGTTGTTTTTAAAGCATGAGTCATTTTAGGAGACTGACAAGCTTTTTTTTAATTTATTGGTTTCGCATCTCATTCCAAGTTGGCTCTTCTTATGGAAGCCATTGTATTATTTATAAGGTTAAGATGATTGGCTGTTATTTTACAGTCTTACAGCCAATTTGCGCTGACGTGACTCTTTTGATGAGATCATCATGATTGTAAATCTAAGGTTATGCTTTTGATCTTCATAAAGGAGTTTGCTGTCCTCCATCTTGTGAACACAGATGGCACTCGCATTCCCTATGAGTTATCTTATAAATGAGTGTCTTTGATCTTGGAGGAGGAGGCCATCGGTTTCTTATCTGCAGTAAAACTCAACCAATTAAGAATATCCTGACAGCAGCAGGTCAGAGCTGTATTCTTAATAAGGAAAGCAGCATAAGGGTGGAAATATACCAAATCAGTTACTAATTTTCTTTGGATGTCACATCTAAACTAAGTTTTAAATCTGTAAACTATAAACTAGTTCTAATTTCTCTAGTAAAAACAATTCCCAATAAGTTTCAATTGTAAAGTTATTTCACATTTGGATAATATATTAAAATATCATAATTTTAAATTGTAATTAATATATGAAGAAAATTAGTAAAAATAATGCTGAATATTATATATATGATATATATATGTGATAGCACATATGATACTATTTCTAACTTGCCTGAATTTATGACTCAAGGCATGTAATGGTTCCCTTGTTTATGATATTCACTAGGTTACACATACTTATTTGTTTAAGCTGGTCAAGTATGGACTATCAACGAATCTTGTTTAAAAGATATATAGTAAAAATCCTTCACACACACACACACACACACACACACACACACACACACACACCACACCACACACACGTGCACAACACTGAATTCCCCAAAAACATTCCATGCATTACTGCAATTTAATTTTTTTCACTGTTCTCAGATTTTAATCTGCTATATTTTTAGTTAACAAATATTAGTAATTATGACTTCCTTTTTTTAGTGATTTTATTTTCATTTTATGTGCATTCGTGTTTCACCTGTATGCACATCTGTCCAGACTACCTGGAATTGGAGCCACAGTAGTGAGTTGCCATGTGGGTGCTGGGAATTGAACCCAGATCCTCTGGAATCGCAGTCAGTGCTCTTAACCGATGAGTCATCTGTCCAGCATCCTTGAGTTTCTCAAACTTTTCTAATGAAGTATTAGATCAAACAATTGAGATGAATAGTAAGATGAACTATACAGTCTTAAAAAACAAAGAGTGCATATATGTGTGTTGCATGTATATGTATACGTGAATGTGTATGCTTATGTGAATGCATGTGCATATGTTTATGGATATGTGTATGTAAGAGCAGAGACCAGGAGAAAGAGGGATAACATTGCATAATTTAATTTTATTATATATTAATTTGCATAACCTTATCAAATATTTAGGGAAAAAATTCAGTAAGAATGGCAAGAAGTTACCTTATTTTTCCTTTTTCTTCAGCCCACCTAGTGAAGAGTCTTATTATGTAGCAAATAGCTAATTTATACCCTTCCTTTCAGGTCTTTTTACTCTGATGCATGTTCATAAATAATATATTATATTTCCTTATGTGTTGTTTATGATTGAGCCTTGTGATCTCTCAGACTAACTATGCTTTTATCCTCCACTTCTTCTTCTTCTTCTTTTTTTTTCCCGGACTTTTCAAGAAAGGGTTTTTCTGTGTAACAGCCCCGGCTGTCCTGGATCTTGCTTTGTAGACCAGACTGGTCTTGAACTCACAGAGATCTACCTGCATCTACCTCCCGAGTGCTAGGATTAAAGGTGTGTGCCACCACCACTGGACCCTTCATTCTTAGCTTCATTTGGTGAAAATATAGACCTGAAGACCTGCACTTTCCTTTTAAGATTACTTTACCACTAAGGAAATGCTATATTGAAACATAATATTCGAAAAGCCACTTATGTGCATATTTCATAGAAAGTTTCCAAATACTACAAAAGAGAATTATAAAATAAATATTCATGGAATTCCATTTGGCTTCTTCCTCTATGGTATGTATGTATAATGTGTTATATACATGTATTCATTTGGGTATAAATGAGTAACTGTTTCTTTTAGAATCTACCGTAATGATGAATTCCATACTTAGAGAACCGTGAGCTGAAAAATCAAATACCCCAACCAGTACAGGTAAACGTTAGTTAAACACCTCATTAGAAAATAGTTAGCACGTAAGTTACCATTTGAATTTGGTGAACAAAATATTCAAATCATAAAATAATAATAATAATGAGCACAAGACGTTTCATAATATTCTAAACATTCATAAACAACTGCTATTTGATCTACAAAGATCCAAGTCAGAAGACTACATTTCAAAATGCTTATTTCCTTAGTATGGGTGAGTGGCCATGAATAATTCAAATTTTCTTCACTTTCCAAGGTCTTTATACTTGCATATAGATTGCCTTCACACACCCTATATTTTACAATGAGTTATTTCTAAATGAAATGCACAACGTCTATTTCTGGTCATTATATGCTGCCAGTATCATCTAGAAGTGAACTCTGCTGTAAGTCAGATCCTGTCTTCTCCTTTGCTGCAGAAGCAGTGGTCATTCTGCTGTTCTATTTACGACTCTATAAATACAGCATGCATTTAAAAAAAATTAGCAGTTTGCACAGCACACCATGCCAGACTATGTTGATCTTGTATAAAGTTACAAAAAAAATTAATTTTTAAGCAGTCAAATTAGTGCTGCAAGACATGCCATAATTACGGGATGCGGAAATGTACAAATGAAGCTTATGCAGATGCTCATGACAACTGAACCGCAAAAAAAAAATCAGCATCTAAGCATGGCTGTGGAGAGACATGCAGATTCACTTAGTTCCTTACTCTGATGCCTAGTGATACTGAAAAATTCTTTAGGTCCTTAATTACCTTTTATTTGCTGCCTAGGTCCCACCCCCATTGCTCACACCAATAAATGACTAGACTAATGTTTAAATCATGCGCACACACACACACACACACACACACACACACACACACACACACACACACACACACTTTTCCTTTGAAGTGGAAAATGATGACTATATCCACCCAAGTATTGCAGAGGAAGCATTAAGCTCCGGGAAGGAAATAATCAGTGGATTTTATTACTGAAATAAGCAAGCATGTTCGTGCATATTCTTTCGGCATGCATGCCTATGCGTCACTCAGAGCAAACAGTGCTCCTGCAGCTTTTGCGCAGTAATTAGGTTGATGCAATCACAGGGAAATAAAGACAGTCACACTGATAATTTCACAGTGAATATTAAAGACATATGTGCCTTCCAGTGTACAATAAATGAACCTGAACTGCTGTCAGGGTCTAGGAGGACAGTGTGGCCAATGCACCTATTGTGTCCCTGCTGCAGAAAGGAGCCTGCCGATTGGCCACTGTCTGCAGCACATAGCACTGGCTGGTTATAAAGGACTTGTCTAGGGGAGAGCCTGTAGGTACTCCATTGTCTGGTAAAGTTCATATGACTGCATTGTTTTGCAAGGGGTGTGTGTGAAGGGAGAGCTGGGAGGGAGGGGGAAATCAGCTCAACTGTAAAAGCTGTACAGATCTCTCTCTCTCTCTCTCTCTCTCTCTCTCTCTCTCTCTCTCTCTCTCTCTCTCTCTCTCTCATAGATCATTTCTGTTTCTTGCCCTGTCTCATTTCGAATAGCTAAAAAGGAATGCTAATTAAGATCCCATGTCTTAACCTGAAAATAATGACTCGGCTGTAATTAGAAATCTGCTGAGAGTTTAAAATTCTGGTAGGGAACCAAAAGCATCAGTTACGGTGCTTAGGAAGAAAATGAAGAAGTATGTTTCTGTAATCAAGGTAAACATGGGAAAAGGGGGATTCCCCCGTTGTTTTTTTATCCAGTTTTAACCAATAGTACTCTGCTGTAGATTAGAAGATAGTGTATTTCAAAAACGATATTAACCATCAAATTGAAAGGACACAAATCAGTAGCAATAGAAGCCTTAATCCTCCTTAGGATGCAATTCAGATGAAAGAACTGCTTTTTATTTTTCTTTTTGTATGTGTGTGTATGTGTTATAGATGGATCTGAGAACGCTGTCTGGGCTTCGTGCCAAGGGCTGGTATTCACACAGCAACGACGGCCTCACAGACGAGCTGTGGGAAGCAGGAGGGAGAGTCTCTCTTAGGGTGCCACTACTATGGAGACACAGCTGGGCTGAACAAGATTTGCTTCAAACGACAGCAAGAGAGACAGAAAGTATCTGATTCAACCGCTGCCCAAGCAGGCAGACACCAGAGGAGCTAGCAGCCAATCCGGCCATGCTTGAAGTCAGTCCTGCCGCTCAGCCAATCAGTGACATCACTGGTGAGAAACTCATTTACATCATGCAGTAATGAACTTTGTTTAACATAGCCTTCCCTTTTTCCTGTTACCCCCCCCCCACCCCCATATTAGGTCCTTCCATTAATTATCCTGCTGGCATAATTTAAAACGCTATGCAAAAATGTGGCTACATTCCCTCTGGTAGCTCTTACCCACCCTCCAACCTGTGTCTGGCAGTCACAGAAGCGGTTCTGAGAACAATTCTATTAATTTTGGTTTCCCAAATATTATCTTCTCTTTCTTAAAGGAAAAAAAACTCATAGAACATCCCTAAACTTTTGTTTATTTGTTGGACGGCCCTTCTAGTGAAATACATATTTTCTCCCAAGTTGCAACTTACAGCTGTACAAGATCATAGAAAATCAGGGGTGTGCACCGCTGTGGAAGTTGGGATTTTGTTTTTCCCAAGCAATCTGCATCTTAGAGGTTCCGTTCATGTTTTCAGATTTTATGTTGCAGTGGCCATTTTACATACGGTGCTTTCTCCAAGGAAAAGCTATATGTACATCTGTCCTGTGGAGGAAAGTTCGCTCTTGTTATATTTCATTCTTCATTGCTCTCGGCCAACATGTCATTTTATTAATGAATAGAGCTGAGGTCACTTCTGGACAAATCTTCCCCCCTACCCATCAGAGCACAATGCACCTGATTTGCGTCCATTTACTAGAAATACTGAATACAAGAACCAGCTTGAAAAGGAGCGCAGAGAACACCTTCCATATTATTTGGAAGAATATGACACAGCCATTTGTTTTTCAGGAGGCATAATCTGTAGCAGCTGCTTTAATGTTTCTCTGAAAATGTCCGATCTCCATTTATAGTGCAATACCTTTAGTGAATTTATGGGAGCGTTATATAACCAGAGTTGAGCAAATGAAATCATAGTCAAGGAGGAATTCACCTAGCTACAGAAAAACCTTTGGAAGTACAATGCTGTCTTGTACATTTGTATTTCATTGGTCAGGGATAAAATATTTTGTTTAGCAGATGACTTAAAGCATCGGAAACATGTGGCTTCTGAAGATTTCTCTTTGCTTTACAGACTCCCAGTGAGCGAAACTGGGATACACTTCAATGCGATTTCTGTTAATTCGTATCTTTTTTTTTTTTTTGCATTATTGGCATTAAAGGCATGTGCTTGTCTAGAAGAGATAGCAAAGTTTCATTGTCTATTTTTATTAAGAGAATGCTTTGGATATAAATATTCAAAGACATGGAATTTTAATAAGACCAACAAAGGTTTCATAACTGCACAATTCGTTTAAGAAGCTTAGCGAGCACAATGATAGGCATAGTCACATGAAGGGTTTAGACAAGAAACCCATGGCCCTTTTAATTCATGAGGCATTCCATCATCCCGTCATCAGTATTCAGGGGGCGACTGTCCTGAATCAGTCATGAGCTCCCCTGCTGCAGATCCTGTAATTTGAATCATGTGTAATAATATATTATCCTACTGGGGGCTTTCTCTCAGTAGGAAAATGGTTTGTACTTTCTGGTATAAGAGAACTTTTGGCAGCAAGCCGACTCACAGCCATTACTCACATGGACAGTCACTGTTGTCCCCCTTAAGGAATAACACCTGCACAACCTCCTCAGCCAAAGTTCCGCAACCTCCCCCATGTTATGAATTACGATTCCTTAGAACTGGGAACACTCGATAAACTGAAGCTTAAAAAAAAAAGGAAGATTGAAAGAAATGGATCAGGTTTTATTGAGAATGCCGTGGGACGACAGCGTCCACTCCTGTCCCTTTGAATTGATGGAGAATCGGGTGGGAGGGAGAGAAGGGAATACGTCTAAACATATTTGACTCCATAGGTGCTACTAAAATATGTGTTTTGTGAGAACATGGTTGTCTGTGATTTTCTGTGCCTATCCTAGCTGGGTCCTATAAAGGGTGTGGTAACATGGAGTGCTAGCTAGTGGGTGGAGACCACAGTGCAGACAGAGGAATTGTCTCTGCTCCAGAAGGCAGTGGAGTGATGGAGCAATGCCATTCTACCTTCAGTGTTAATTCCAGTCATGGCTCTGATTCTTTTGTTGTGGACTTGATCAGATCACTGAGTTTATCTCTGCGTTCCTTACCTGTGGAGAGTAGACACTCAGATAGCACCTTAGGGATTTGCTTTCCATTCTTAATCATTGAATTCCCCATTTGCTTCAAGCAACTGGATCAGTGTGCCATCTGTAAGATTCTTCCAGATCAGAGCCAGATCTCCCTCTCCTCCACCCTTCTCTTTTTACCTCCACCCCCGCATTTGTGGCACTTCCTATTTCTCCAGAGTCACATCTGTACCTCTCTGCCGCTAGACCCTTGTGGACAGAGACCACACTGAATCGACCTTGAGCCTCTAGGTCTGCAAATCGTGAATTATATCCCCAACATTGGAATTTCTATTCCAGTTAATGAATTATAAATGCATTGCACATCATTATAGAAATTGCAAGAATTACAGAGATTGTTAGGATGCTGTCAGCCATTACCTCTAGGTACCATGGGTGTCAGCTTTCACCTTTTCTATGCTGTGCTGTTTATTTCAGTGGACCTTCAGATGGAGGCTTAGAAGAGAGGGACACAACTTTATTTGTTGTTTTTGGTGTGTGTGTGTGTGTGTGTGTGTGTGTGTGTGTGTGTGTGTGTGTTTTGAATAACCAGTTGTAGGAAAATATAATGCATTTTGTTTCAAATGCAGAGCTAAGCTCACAGAATTTGATGTTTTAAAACTTAAAAAAAATACGTGAACTTTGTGTAGCTTAATTGCAAAGTAACCATGGCAAGAAAATTATGGTATCAAACTCTATTAATTACTTGAACGAGTTAATTACATGGAAAAGTTTAACAATTAAAATTGAAGTGTTTGCAAGGTTCAAGAAGTCAGGGTTTATGGACTTGAGTTTTATCATGCTAAAATTAATATGTGTTTTTTTTTTTTAATCTGTAATCTAGTATAATACCCATTGAATGCATTTCTGGACGTTTTAGTATAACTTGATAGCACAAGACCAAACATATTTGATTTTATGCTACTTATCTCCATAAGTTTCCTTTTGGCTATGGTAGTCCTGATAAATTGAGATGAATTCCTTGGTGAACAATGATCTTGTTAAAACATTTTTAAAATCATTGTCATTAGATTTGGAAGATCCCATTTCAAACTGTTGGCTCACATATGTTCTGAAAAGCAAATGGAATAATTAGACTACCTATAATGTCTTTTCTTTTATATTTGTAAAAACAAAAACTTTAGAGTAGACATCAGCAAAAAATATGTATTTTGTAAAAGTCTTAAGAGAGAAATTTTTTTCAGCTCTAAATACATACTTTCAAGTTCCTGGAATAGCCTGAACTGGCATTTAGTATTTAGCAAGACTGGCCCAATACATTTTTACTCGGCCAAATGACGTTTACTTTACAAGTCAGCAAGATGGGATTCCATAATCATTCAGGACTCAAGTAAACCATATTTGCTGATGTAATTGATCACTCTTCACAGGACTTGGGCTCTAGGTGGATATGAAAAAAGGCTTTGAAAATTTTTTTTGTTTTGTTTTTTTCAAGACAGGGTTTCTCTATGCAGCTTTGGTGACTGTCCTGGATCTCTCTCTGTAGACCAGGCTGGACCTGAACTCACAGAGATCCGCCTGCCTCTGCCTCCTGAGTGCTGGGATCAAAGGCATGCGCCACCACCGCCTGGCTGAAAAAATATTAAGATACTATAATGTAATCAGTACTAATAGTTTGTTATCCTAATGAATATCTTAATATTCATTAAATAATTATAGTTTTGTTTTTTCAAATGTATGAATCTGACACCTGGGTTCACTTTCCAATGACATATTAATTTAATTCATTTTAAGGTATAGGATTGGTTAAGTAGCTTGGGTGCTGTTTATTTAAGATAAACCATGGATTATGCTATTTTTGAACTTTTTATTCTGCTAAGATCTCCAGTTATCTCAGAAATAAAATGTTTCCATTTTCAGAGTAGTGAAAGATGAATCTGAAGCTTTTGAATACAGGGAACCAACTTGTGGACCGCTGGGATAAATGCCTCTCAAAGACAGTGAAAAGAGTTGAGACTGTCCAGCATCTTCTATTAATAAAATTATGCCTCAGAGTATAGAGAATGGCTGAGTAGATGTGGAGCATCTTATACAAAGGGGAATTGACTTACTTCATGGTTTGAGATATGACCTCTGAATAATATTGTCTTTCTAAACTTATTAAAGTAGAGATGAACTAGAGAGAAGTAATGAAAACTCTCCACTTACGTTGGCACCCTTAATATCATAATCTGTGATGCTTGTCCTAAAATTAACTATTAACTTATGGAAGTAGGAATAAATACTTATGTAGCAAAAATATTAGATAAACTGGTAGAGGACAAATAAGCTCTTTGCAATTTGGGAAAGTATTAGATGACAGTGGATTAAAGTATATGTGTACTCTGGGGCTGCTTTCTATTCAGCCATTAAAACATGGTAAGTATTAATCATAGTGCCCAATATGTTTGGGCACATAAAGTGTTTTTATGTACTGAAACTAACATCTTGCTGCTGGTAAATACAAAATTTCTTTATGCCTAGATACTATATAGGAAGAGAAGCAGAACGATGCAGATTAATGGCTACCATTTCCTGGCAATAAGCTGTGTGTCATGTGTCACACACTCCACCATAGAGTATTTCATGTCAATCACAACTCAATCCCATGGTGTGGTGTTAACAGCATTTTTTCTTCTGTTTATTTTTAAGATTATAATGTAATCACATAATTTCCCCTATTCCCTTTCCTTTACCCAAATCCTCCCATATACTCTTTTTTGTTCTCTTTCAAATTCATGGCCCACCTTTTAATTTTTGTTACATGCATATATATGTTCCTGACTATAACCTGCTCAGTCTGTATAGAAGCATACCAGTTGTTTATCCAATAGAGAGGTCAGCCCTGAAAACATACATTCAAGTACCAGCATCAT